CTGAGAATCTCTCTTGCCTATCTCAGCACCCAGTTTTCTTTATGAACACCTGCTTAGCATTGCAAGATGTCAGTGCAGGGCTATGGTGTGTTAGCTGAATTGTGGCACATCTGACATGTGCACGTCTGCATCCCAGAATCCTCCACTCATAATTGCTTCCTGCCACCTCCATCATTGGAACCAACTTCTTAATATCATTCCTTCTTTCTATATGAGCTTACTTCATTCTTCATTCTGTCCCATTGCATCTCTCCCTTCTTCTCTGGCCCCTACTCTTTCCATCTATACTCTCCCTTTTTACCACTTCCATACCAGCTCCACCAAAACATTCCCTTTCTCACTCAATGTTCACTCCCTATCTCCTCTAGTTAGGTTCTCCTGTCATACACTGTCAGTACTTTTTTTTCTGTATGCTTTAACGCTTCTCCCGTACCATTCCTGGCCCTTTCCCAACAGCCATATTGGTTATATTTTCCACAGTTATTCTCTTTGCCCCATCTCTATCTTATTAGCAAAATTATTAATTATTATACTAATTTATTACAGCTTTCATTCTACATTCCACATGAATTTTGTATGTCCGTATCTTGCTAGGTTCCTCTTTTTCACATCCAAAGCACGGTTCTCCCTAATCTACTGCTTGATTCTTCACCTACAAGTGCTTGCTATATAAGATTTGCTTTAAAATTAAGAGATTATCAGATGATGATGCCGGTTCATGTTCTGCAAAATATACTGTGTTGACTATAACTCTGTAGGCCGACACCAAATTATATATTCGAAGCCTCTGAGCAGCAGTAGTGGCTGCATTGCCATGAATTATATAGAGACTACACTAGCATTATAGAAGCTTTTTGGAATAGGAAAATGTTGTGTGCGGTTTAATAAAACCAAACTTTACAACAAAAACATTAGAATCTTGTTAGCTTCTAGATAACTGACTGGGTAAATAAATCAGAGCTAAAAGGATAACTAGTTAAATGAGTGTGAGTGACAGGGTCACGGGATATATAAGAACATCAATACCATGGACCGTGCAACAATTGAGCCTTTTTCATTAATTTGTAGCAAGGGTAGTTGATGAGTCCAGGTAGCCACAAGGATGCTCTATTATAACGTCTGTATGCTCTTGTATAGGTACATTATCTCCAAACGAGTCGGTCACTGATCATTCTGTCACACATGAATACCTGTTGCATACCCTCACACACACAGAAAAGAGAAGCAGTAATTGATTTTACTCATATATTATTAAAGCAGCAACATTCTTCCGTAGAGATTGCCTGCGAGTGTGTCATAATTAATTGTTTCTAATATAAGTGCGAGGAAGAGCGCAAATTACTTCTAGAGAGCTAATGAAAAGTGCCGTAGATCTGAGAAGCTGATTTCAAAGCCAACATATTTCTAATTTGTGAAGAGAGGAAATGTATTTATAATACAGGTAGTTATCGTCTCCTAAATCCAAATCAGCTTATGCATCCTATCGCTTGACTTGTCCCAGCTACTCAGTTGATATAATTAATTTGATCTGACACAGGCTTAGGGAACCGACACATTTGACCTTCATAAACCGGCTCTTTCAACAGCACAAAGTGTAACTGGGCATTAATAAAACGAAACACCCTTAGGGACAAAATACAGATTTAGCAGCAATAACCAATTACATCTGGAAAGGAAACAGTGTGCCGTCTTAGATGTTTCTTCTGCTGAGACAAATTAACACTGGGATCATTGAAATCAAATGAGTAGGTGGAGATAGAGCAGCTCGTAGAAGGTTTGGAAGAATCTATTCTAAATACCTCCCCACTGCTCTTTGAAGAGCATAATCACTTTAGACTGAAAACATGACTTGAAAAGGTCACTGGCTTTTTCAAAGTGTGCATGCTTTTTTATTTTCTTTCGTGCTTTTCAGCAAAGTAACTGTTCGCCACTGAAGTGTTATAAATGAAGATGTTGAAAGGGAAATAACAGCACCTATGACAATTTGGAAATGGCTGAAATACAATATCTGCCATTTATTTGTTTACAAGGCTTTTAATTAATAAATTCTGAGCCTACAAAGTGCTTTGCAAGCCCGACTCAAAATTAATTACAGGTATAATGACATTATATAAAAATCACAATTAATGATATATGGCCAAATCTAGGAGATTTGTAAGATTCAATTCAGATAGTCACTGAGTATATGTGTTAGTGTGTATCTGCATGGATCAGTGTGTGTTTGGGTCACTGACTGTATGTGTTAGTTTGTAGCTGCATGGATCAGTGTGTGTTTGGGTCACTGAGTATATGTGTTAGTGTGTATCTGCATGGATCAGTGTGTGTTTGGGTCACTGAGTGTATGTGTTAGTGTGTATCTGCATGGATCAGTGTGTGTTTGGGTCACTAGTGTGTATCTGCATGGATCAGTGTGTGTTTGGGTCACTGAGTGTATGTGTTAGTGTGTAGCTGCATGGATCAGTGTGTGTTTGGGTCACTGACTGTATGTGTTAGTGTGTATCTGCATGGATCAGTGTGTGTTTGGGTCCCTGAGTGTATGTGTTAGTGTGTATCTGCATGGATCAGTGTGTGTTTGGGTCACTGAGTATATGTGTTAGTGTGTATCTGCATGGATCAGTGTGTGTTTGGGTCACTGACTGTATGTGTTAGTGTGTAGCTGCATGGATCAGTGTGTGTTTGGGTCACTGAGTGTATGTGTTAGTGTGTAGCTGCATGGATCAGTGTGTGTTTGGGTCACTGACTGTATGTGTTAGTGTGTATCTGCATGGATCAGTGTGTGTTTGGGTCACTGTGTGTATGTGTTAGTGTGTATCTGCATGGATCACTGAGTGTATGTGTTAGTGTGTATCTGCATGGATCAGTGTGTGTTTGGGTCACTGAGTGTATGTGTTAGTGTGTATCTGCATGGATCAGTGTGTGTTTGGGTCACTGAGTGTATGTGTTAGTGTGTAGCTGCATGGATCAGTGTGTGTTTGGGTCACTGACTGTATGTGTTAGTTTGTAGCTGCATGGATCAGTGTGTGTTTGGGTCACTGACTGTATGTGTTAGTGTGTAGCTGCATGGATCAGTGTGTGTTTGGGTTACTGAGTGTATGTGTTAGTGTGTATCTGCATGGATCAGTGTGTGTTTGGGTCACTGACTGTATGTGTTAGTTTGTAGCTGCATGGATCAGTGTGTGTTTGGGTCACTGAGTGTATGTGTTAGTGTGTAGCTGCATGGATCAGTGTGTGTTTGGGTCACTGAGTGTATGTGATAGTGTGTATCTGCGTGGATCAGTGTGTGTTTGGGTCACTGAGTGTATGTGTTAGTGTGTAGCTGCATGGACCAGTGTGTGTTTCGGTCACTGAGTGTATGTGTTAGTGTGTATCTGCATGAAGCAGTGTGTGTTTGGGTTACTGAGTGTATGTGTTAGTGTGTATCTGCATGGATCAGTGTGTGTTTGGGTCACTGAGTGTATGTGATAGTGTGTATCTGCGTGGATCAGTATGTGTTTGGGTCACTGAGTGTATGTGTTAGTGTGTATCTGCCAGGATCAGTGTGTGTTTGGGTCACTGAGTGTATGTGTTAGTGTGTATCTGCATGGATCAGTGTGTGTTTGGGTTACTGAGTGTGTCTGCATGGCCCACTAAGTGCATGTGTTAGTGTATGTCTGCATGGTTCATTGAGTGTATGGGTCACTGACTGTGTCTGCATGGCCCACTAAGTGCATGTGTTGGTGTATGTCTGCATGGTTCATTGAGTGTATGGGTCACTGAGTTTGTCTGCATGGCCCACTAAGTGCATGTGTTAGTGTATGTTTAGATGGTTCATTGTGTGTATGGGTCACTGAGTATGTCTGCATGGCCCGCTAAGTGCATGTGTTAGTGTATGTCTGCATAGTTCATTGTGTGTATGGGTCACTGAGTGTGTCTGCATATCCACTAAGTTTATGTATTAATGTATGTATCCAAGTATGTCAGTACATTATTACCTTTATGGATACACTTATAAACAGATAGTGAATACCCACACAACAGAAACAGAGATCAGAAGACGAATAATAGTGCAACACATAATTCATTCTTATAAATCGAAATATGATTGTTGCCACTCACATAATGCAGAGCTGCGTACAGGCTCCATGAACAATGCTAAACTATGCTTTTAACCTGTATAATTACGCACTATGTTGGCCCAATATATTATAGGAACTATGGTTTTGCAGGGAAAGGGGGCAAAAATAAAGGACTTGCCCCCAAACACTTCATGACCTAGCTATGCTCATGGATAGATTTATTTTTTAAATTCTGAAATGTTGCAAATTAAAATGTAAATAGCAAAATTAAAATAAAAATATTCTCCAACACAGCTATGATCACCTCTTGTTTAGCCTTAAATTTGCCATTGGAATTTCAGTTTGCAACAGTTCAGAGTCTAGTAATATCCCAGTTGTTGATTCTCAACGGACCTCAGCATTGACACTGGTAAAAGCTTATTTTTTTTTCGATTTTCTGACTGCAATTTGCAATCTTTAATATGATCTCCATTATTCATGGTCTGATTAATATTATTAAAAAGAACTAGAGGGTACTCTTATAAAACCTATACATAATTTAAGGACTTTAAAATCTGAATGTTCTATCGCTTTTATAAAATGCACATTCAACATACTGTATATTTTAAATATGTGTGAATTTTTTTTTATCTGTGTATTAAAGTGTAGATGATGCATATCAGTACTTTTGAAAATAAATACCTTCAGGTTTGGACTGCTATTAAAGAGATGTAGTCAGTATGTATGTAGCTATAAGATCCAGAAAGTAGTCTCCTATACTATGACAATTATTTATATATTATATTATAATAACATATTCCAGAAAGCTGTACAATAGGTAAACAAGACAAACATTTCATTCTAACAAACCTTGTATGAAATATGGGAACAGTTGGTGAAGAGCGCCCTGCCCAAACAGATCTTACAATCTAAAGGGATGAGGAAGTGAAGGAATCAAGTGATCTGAAAAATATGGAACTCTTCACGAATTTGTGTGTCATCCTTGAGCAGAGATCGTGCTAATCTCCTCTGTATTGTTCCAGTTTTAGTATATGAGCTGCCAAAGCAAGCATGTATCACATGAAGACTTGGCAAATAGTGACTCCGTAATCAGACATTGTATTACAAATCTCTATCAGCTTCTCACATAGGCAACTCAACAGTCCTGCTTTCTCAATTGTGGAGTCCTGTCCCACTGTCCTCAGGCAGCACAGCCTGTGTTTATTACTGCATTACGACCACACAGGGAACACTTTAGCAGCACTCCCTGCATGGTCCTGAAGTCTCGTGGCTGCCCAGGCATCCTTTATGACCATCACTAGTGACATGTATCGATCCTGTAGCAACACCCTTTTATGGAAACACCAACCCTGTCCTAATTCCCCATCCAGATATTTTGGGGGTATGTTACAAAATATATATTTTTTTATTTTGTATCGCTGCTGTATGGCATTCAAACATTTATGTTTTGTTTGTTTATTACTAGTGATGTCCCGAACTGTTTGCCGAACGGTTCGCCACAAATGGTTCGCTGCGGACTCATCATTGAGTAAACTTTGACCCTGTACCTCACAGTCAGCAGACACATTCCAGTCAATCAGCAGAAGACCCTCCCTCCCAGACCCTCCCGCCTCCTGGACAGCATCCATTGTGAAGCTGCATTCTTAGTGAGATGTCCAGGAGGTGAGAGGGTCTGGGAGGGTCTGCTGCTGATTGGCTGGAATGTGTCTGCTGACTGTGAGGTACAGGGTCAAAGTTTACTCAATGATGAGTCCATGGCGAACCGTTCGTGGCGGACTGTTCGCGAACCGTTCGGCGAACAGTTCGGGACATCACTATTTATTACCATCCCCTTTCCCTTGGATTTTTAATTCCCTTTAATTGTATTTGTACTTTAGACATTTTTTTTCTGAAATTTGTCTTAATTGTTTTTTGCGGGTGGGGTTGGAGAGGGGGAGGGCTTTCTCATACCCAATGAGACAGATGATATTTTTTTTAACCCTATTCCAGTACCATTTTTTTGTGGGGTCACTGGAATAAAAAGTCTCAAGAATGCGTTGCAAAGCAAATTTATGAAATTTTTGCCCATGTCTTCATCCTACCCAGATGTTATCCTTCCAGTGATGGGAGCAGTGAGAGAGTAGATATGCAGGTTCTGTTCAACTGTGTGAATGCTGTGAGTGTTCTTTAAGGAACACTATAGGGTTAGGAACACAAATGTATTCCTGACCCTATAGTGTTAAAAACACAATTTAGCCCCCCTGCTTCCTCTCCTTACCCTCTAAATATAGTAAAATCTTACCTTTATTCCAGTCTGCTGCTGCTGGCTCCGCCCCTGATCTGCCTGCTTGGCTGACATTATCAGAAGTGATGATCTGAGCCAATCACAATGTTTCCCCATAGAATTGGCTGAGCTTGTCAAGGAGGCAAATCAGCAGTAGAGCCAACACAAGTCATACACAGCCCTGGCCAATCAGCATCTCCTCATACCGATGCATTGAATGATGCATCTCTATTAGGAAAGTTCTGTGTCTGCATGCAGAGGGTGGAGACACTGAATGGCAGTCACACCGTGCAGCACTGCCCCAGGAAGCACCTCTAATACCCATCTGAGGAGTGGCCAGTGAAGTTATCACTAGCCTGTAATGTAAACACTGCATTTTCTCTGAAAAGACAGTGTTTACAGCAAAAAGCCTGAAGGGAATGATTATACTCACCAGAACAAATTCAATAAGCTGTAGTTGTTCTGGTGACCCTAGTGTCCCTTCCCTTTATTAAACACCGAATTTTAGTCTAAAATAGCCAAACTGTGACTATAGTTTAGTCAAAAAAGCATATACTTCCCAATGCTGCTTCGTTTCTTGTTTGCCCACCCTCGAAATGATCTAGCAGAAACTCACAAAATCCACATGACTTGTACAGATCCAGTGTTCATAAAGAAGTGCTGATTTATACAAGTTTATTTTATTTCCGATTTATCACCAGCCAGTTAATTATAAAAAAATATGTCCATACATATTGCATGAATTTCTTTATTTTTCCTCTTTTTTGTGATCTTAAAGAAAAAGCCTTTGCTGCTCATAATATGTTCAGATTATTTTAAATACAGTGTCTTTTCATTTCCAGGATGAGAATGACAATCCTCCCACATTCAGCCGCCCATCCTACATCATTACTGTGATGGAAAACATCATGGCAGGTGAAATATTGTATTGCAACAAACAAACAATTTAGAAGTTGGGTGAGTTCACTATTTTGTCTAACTTTAATTATTCTTCTAGGAGCCACAGTGTTGTTTTTAAATGCCACTGATTTGGACCGCTCTAGAGAATATGGCCAGGAGTCGATCATATACTCTTTGGATGGCTCCCCTCAGTTCCGAATCAATGCCCGATCAGGTAAAAAACTAGTCTATCACTTCTTCTCATTTCCAGCCTTGTAAGGGTACTTCAGGTGGGAGGTGATGCAGATAATGATTCAAATATAAACAAACAATGACATGAATGACAACAACAGCCCAAACTAGTCTGGGACCCGGTGAAGAAAATCACTTCCTCCTTCTCCCTGTCCTTGCTCCTTCCCAAAGTAATAAAATTCAGTTTACAAATGTATTGGAGAGCTCCACAGTAATAATACTCACATTGATGTAAAGTGTGTATAAATGTATCTCAAGGATTCGCAGTAATAATACTTAGTTATGTAAAGTGTGTATGCATGTATCCCAGCAGTCCACAATTAATAATACTCAGTTATGTAAAGTGTGCATGAAAGTATCATAGAGGTCCACAATTAATAATACTAAGTTATGTAAAGTGTGTATGAATGTATCGCAGAGGTCCACAATTAATAATACTCAGTTATGTAAAGTGTGTATGAAAGTATCATAGAGGTCCACAATTAATAATACTCACTTATGTAAAGTGTGTATGAATGTATCACAGAGGTCCACAATTAATAATACTCACAGTTATGTAAAGTGTGTATGAAAGTATCATAGAGGTCCACAATTAATAATACTCACAGTTATGTAAAGTGTGTATGAATGTATCGCAGAGGTCCACAATTAATAATACTCACAGTTATGTAAAGTGTGTATGAAAGTATCATAGAGGTCCACAATTAATAATACTCACAGTTATGTAAAGTGTGTATGAATGTATCCCAGCGGTCCACAATTAATAATACTCAGTTATGTAAAGTGTGTATGAAAGTATCATAGAGGTCCACAATTAATAATACTCACAGTTATGTAAAGTGTGTATGAATGTATCGCAGAGGTCCACAATTAATAATACTCACAGTTATGTAAGGTGTGTATGAAAGTATCATAGAGGTCCACAATTAATAATACTCACAGTTATGTAAAGTGTGTATGAATGTATCCCAGCGGTCCACAATTAATAATACTCAGTTATGTAAAGTGTGTATGAATGTATCACAGAGGTCCACAATTAATAATACTCAGTTATGTAAAGTGTGTATGAATGTATCGCAGAGGTCCACAATTAATAATATTCAGTTATGTAAAGTGTGTATGAATGTATCACAGAGGTCCACAATTAATAATACTCAGTTATGTAAAGTGTGTATGAATGTATTGCAGAACTCCGCAATTAATAATACTCACAGTTATGTAAAGTGTGTATGAATGTATCGCAGAGGTCCACAATTAATAATATTCACAGTTATGTAAAGTGTGTATGAATGTATCACAGAGCTCCACAGTAATAAACCTCATAGTAATGCAAAGTATGCATAGTAGTGCAATGTATGAATATGTCACAGAACCCCTCAGCATTACAACTTAGATTTATGTGCAGCGTGCATGAGTTTATCACAGAGTTCCTATACTAATGTGCAGAGTAGGAGAGTATTACAGATCTCCAAAGTTATAAAAGCTGTGTACTGTGTGTGAGGTGGCTAAGTGTAAAGTGAGTGTGATTGTGTGTGAGGTGGCTAAGTGTAAAGTGAGTGTGATTGTGTGTGAGGTGCCTAAGTGTAAAGTGATTGTGATTGTGAGTGAGGGTTAGCTAAGTGTGATTGTGGGTGGGATAGACAAATGTGATTTACACTTTCCATGTGTTCATTTAATTGTTATTTAATATATTGCAGAATCGGCATTACATTAAATAAAGGTTTCCAAAGGGGACCCTTGACAAGTGAAACTCCAGGACAATCCCATTCTACCTAAAATCATAGAGCTAGATACACAACCGGACACAATTTATAGGGTTAAATTAAATATTTATCTGATGGCTTTAGAATATGAATATATAGTCATACATATAAATAATGGTAAATATTCTATTTACCAATTTGCTCTCAATGCTGGCGTATGTACTTTTTAGTGAATAGACCCCACTGTGCTAATAAAAGTACAGAATGCAGAATTTGGCTAAAAATCCACATTGTCACACCTGCCCTCAGTGCAGTGACTCACAATCATATGCAAAGTCTTCGGATATTCAGCTCTTGGGAGGACAAGCTGTTATCTGCGGGTTAGCATACAAATCTTCTGCCCTGGGTAGAAGGATTAACGTTGTAAGACCCGTAGTGCTATATAGGTGTGCAGTAATTTCAGGAATTGGCATTAATCAATTGGATAAAATTATACTTGAAGGTAAATCACATTTTAATATTCACCCGAATAAACTTTGGAATATTAACACATGCCCTTAAAACAATCCCAACGGCAAAACATGGGAGCTGGGAAGCGATTATGAAAATGACTTCTTGATCTAAAAAGTATTGTTGGCTGCGAGGGCAATGAAGAATAGAAACCAGCTGATTTTGAAGTCTCGCTGCTGGTTTAAATCCTTTCAGTTTCTTCTGAAGGCATAACATGACAGCGTTCTAGAGTGTTCCCTTTGCTCAGACGTCTTTGGCTGCTGCTTTGTAAAGACATAAGTACCGTTCGTGGGCGTTGCAAATTAGTTGAATCTGCACTGTTGAGGCGTATTCTTAATTGGAGGTAATTTCAAAGATGGGTGGCGAGATCCATCATTACGACACTTAAATATTTAAAGCATTTTAAAGATTTTTTTTTTTTTTTTTTACTCCCAGTAATTA